CATTGTTGTTTGGCGGGTCTGGGCTGGGGATTCGAACCCGCCACCTTAGGTGTACGTGGCTGGCGCCTTAGCCGGTTGAGCTATAGGCGCCGAGCCGGGCCCTGTTCTCAGGTAGCTTGTTTGTGGCGGGTACTTCCTAGGTCCCAGTGTCATGTGGCATGCTCTGAAGGGGACAAGGGGCCAGGATAAAGGCATTGGGCTTGTAGTTAATCAAAGGATTCACACTTGAGGAGGCAAGAATAGCACCCATGAACAATAAAGGCGTGTATAAGAGATTGAAGGCTGTTAAGAGTCATGTGGCTTCTAATTGTCACAGCTATCGAGAGGAAGCAACTATCCCTGGGGCAGGAATTACCTGTCTCTTGTAGAGGGTGATGGCTGTGCCCAGAAATGATTAAGGTTTCCCAGGCAGTGGAAATAGGAAGTGGTTGGGTGGTGCTGTGGGTAGGAAGCCTTGGAAGTCAACTCCAGAGTGTGGACTGATTCTCAGGGCAGTGGACAGTCAAGGCAGGTTTATTGCTGACAGAATCACCATTTTGGGAAAAGTTCATTTTGAGAGGAATCTGAAACCATGTCTAGTTAAAACTGCAAGTTGGAACTGAGGACAGGAAAGTTAGAGGCAGGTCTTAGAGGAGATGAGGGTAGAGCTCGCTTATCTCTCTCAGCCTTCCTTTCCCTGCTGAATTGGGTCCATCCTTCAAGAGGTTAGCTCCAGTCTGTGACTCTGCCTGACTTCCCAGTCCCAAAGGAGTTGCTTCTGAACTCAGTGCTCAGTGGCAGATAGTTCACAGAGAATCAGTTTTGATATGCTCTGAGCATGCATAGCCTCCTTGGGAAGTAGCCCCTGCACCCTGGGAAGAGCCTAGTATAGGCCCTGGCACCTGGAATGTGCCCAGTGATTGCTGATGGATTGCCACAGCCAGTATGCCAACACCTGTTGGGTTTGTGTCATCCTTTGGGGGCTCTGCTCAAGTTCTTCCTGCCTTCAGACTGATCTGGTCCCTGTCATTTGTTCTGTGTTGCTTCCCTGACATTGCTCCAGACTGGGCTTCCGGAATGTGGTGACTATGGATGAGCTGCGGATGGCCTTCCCTGTGCTTGACATAGTGGATCTGGAGCGGCGGCTGAAGACCACGGTAATAAGGCACCCAGGTTGGGCCATGCCAGCTCCTGTGCTGCTCCCAGGGCTCTCAGTGTGTGGTCTATCCTGCTGCGATCTGCATTAGCTCTGCCCGCCACCCTCCCAACCCCTCCTGCTAGGCTAGGGTTTCTCTGCACATCTGCAGTGTTGCCTCCTTAGGGAGGCATGTCTGACCAAGGATTTTTTCCCATTTATAAGAATAGTGAGAAGTGGGAGACTCCAGCGCTGTCCCACCATCATTGTTTCTAATGAGCTGGGTACTCTTTTCAGAGCCCCAATATCCCTTCAACTCAAGAGTTTTGTCCTTTACTGGCTGGTCTTTCCACGTTTGCTCAGGAGGGTTACTAACCTCTGTTAAAGTAGTCACTGCTGCTCCTTTACCCTGAAGCACGGCACAGAGAGTTGCCCTTGTGAGAAGCACTATATATATATGTATATGTGTGTGTATATTTTTTTTTAAGTGAGACAGAGTCTTACTTTGTCACCCTTGGTAGACTGCTGTGGCGTCATAGCTCACAGCAATCTCAAATTCTGGGCTCAAGCTATTCTTTTGCCTCAGCCTCCGTAGTAGCTGGGACTGTAGGTGCCCACCACAATGCCTGGCTTTTTTTTTGTTTGTTAGCAGGCCTGGCCAGGTTCAAATCCACCAGCCCCGGAGCATGTAGCGAGTGCCCTAACACTGAGCCTATGGGTGCCCCCTAGTACTTTCCTTATAAAAGTAGCAGTTCTAGGTGTCTACCCATGTGCCTTGTGGGTTTGGCTCATACTTGAGCCACTGGCTAGACTTCCTGAACACCTGATCTCAAGCCATCCTTCCTCCTTAGCCTCCCAAAGTGCTCCCATAATTGGCCTACTACTGACTTGACTTACCTCTCCTGGTGAGCTTTCCAGGGCCTTTCCAGGATCCTTGAGGTGCCCCTTGGCACACTTCTTCATGTGAAATTTTAAGTTAGACCACCATCAGAATTTGATGAAGTGTAGTTGTAAAGAGACAACTTACTTTTATTTGTTTACATAGCTTAAGGCCTCCTCCTCCAGAGCTTCTGACTAAGCACGGCACTTCCTCCCCTGCGAGAGCTTTCTCCCTGCACCATGCAAATTCTGTGGAGAACCAGAATGTAAGAGTTGAAACAAATCTCAGAACAGCTCAGGGAAGTGACTCACCCCCAGGTCACATAGCTGGTTAGAGGCACAGCCAAGACTATGGTGCCCTTGGGAAGGAATGGATCTGGTGAGGCTGGTCAGGTGACTGTTTCTGCACTGACAGTGACAGGAATTACTGTCCTGATGCCTCCTTCTCCACAGCTTCACCTGCATCTGGTTGCCTGATTCTAGAACCTCTTGCTTGGCATGTGTTTTGCATTCTGTCCTCACTGAAGAAAGAGCTGTCTGCCCTTTCTCCTGGCTGCCCTTCACCTGGGGTCTGCCCTTCACCTGGGGTATCCCTCAGCCTATTCTGTGGCCCTCATGCTCTTCTTCCTCAGTGAGGACTTTGGCTTGGGCTCCACTGTGGGGACAGTCTTTGGTGTATGTGAAACATGGACACTGGGAGTGGAAGGGGACTGTTGCACTGATGGCCTCTCCTTTGTCTTTTGGCAGCCCTTACCAAGGAATGACTTCCCAGCCATTGAAGGTAAAAGTGGTCCTCCTTGTGAGTGGGTGCAGGATCTATTTCTCCCTCTTCTCTCAGGCCCTCGGGCTGCCTCAGTGTGACTGTTTGCCTGCAGCCTGGTGGAGCAAAAGGGTGGCCCTGGGCATCAGGGCACTCTGTTTTAATTTTTCCATTTCACTCACTTTATTATTCTAGAAAAACCATAAATGTAGAGACTCTTAGGATGGAAAAGCACATAGGGGTAATCTAATCTAGTGTTTGTTAACTCTTTAAATCTGATTCTCCCCTTGTGTAACAAGAATACTGCAATATCCCTATTAGTATCCTGAAGTGAAATTCATAGTATAACTTCCTATGCACATATATTAAAAATTAATTAGTTCAGTATAAACCCAATTATAATAAAGGAGAAATAAAAGGAAAAAATTTTAATAAGAAAATAATGGTATGGGCAGCACTTGTGGCTCAGTGAGTAGGGTGCCAGCCCCATATACTGGAGGTGGTGGGTTCAAACCTGACCCTGGCCAAAAAAAAAAGATAACAGTGTAATTTCAATATATAGTAGTTACCAAGAAGTAAAATAATTACACTAAGCATATAATCATCGTGAGTGATATATCAGAAACACAGGCAGACTCATGTAAGTGTATCTATAGGTGTGATATAGTTATGTTTTATTGGTGACTCAGAAGTTAGGGGCAGTTACCAAGCATAGGAGGCATGCCTTTAGTCTCAGCTACTTGGGAAGCTGAAGCAGGAGAATTGCTTGAGCCCAGTAGTTTGAGACCAAAGTTTTTTTTTTTTTTTTTTTAGACAGAGCCTCAAGCTGTCCCCCTGGGTAGAGTGCCGTGGCATTACAGCTCACAGCAACCTCCAACTCCTGGGCTCAAGCGAGTCTCCTGCCTCAGCCTCCCAAGTAGCTGGGACCACAGGTGCCCGCCACAACACCCGGCTATTTTTGGTTGCAGCCATTATTGTTGTTTGGCGGGTCCGGGCTGGGGATTCGAACCCGCCACCTTAGGTGTACGTGGCTGGCGCCTTAGCTGGTTGAGCTATAGGCGCCGAGCCGAGACCAAAGTTTTGAAAACAAAGTACAGTCTTCTCTTGACTTACAGAATAGTTGTAGTTTTAGAAAAATTAGTGCTTATTAAAACTATATACAAAATACTTTATGATTACATGTAAAATTACATGGAATTGGCTCAGGTGATTCTAAGCAGGTTGTTCACCTGCACGAGTGATAGGTGGGACATCCACATGTTAAGGTGTGGGACAGGTTTTGATAGTGCAGGGCCACCCTGAGGATCTAGCATCCCTAGCCCCCTCTCAAAACCCTCACCTGCTCAATGTCAGTCATTGTGAGATTTAATATATCTTCAAATTTCTAAAATACCTCCCTGGGGGTGGTGCCCTACTGAGAGCCAATGGTCTGGTTCAGTTCCCCAGTCTGATGGCTACTATCAGCAGCAGCTTTCTCTGTTAAGACTTGCTGTGTGTCCAGCACTGGGCTAAGTGCTTATTTATTATATCTCATTTGTATCCTCACAACAGTACTGTGAGTAGGTGTTGCTATTAATGTAGTAGAGGAAACTGAGGCTTAGAGAAGGTAAATAACTTGCCCACAATCATGCTGAAAATTGGCAGGATCAGGGTTGGAGTTCAGCTTTCTAGTACTCCACATTCCCCTCTCCTGGCCATTGGGTTCTGTTGCTCTTTGGGATCAGAGAGAAGTAACTAAGGGAATGAGCACTCCATTGCCATGGGCAAGGCACAGTGGGCAGAGCCTCAGTCATTGGAGCAAAGCAAGCCTGAGATGTGCTGCTTTCCTTTTTTACCCTCTTCTGTGAAATCCCAGTGGACTCAAGTTAAAATAGGATCCCTGGGCCAGGCAAGGTGGCCCATGCCAGTAATCACAGCAGTCTGCAAGATAGGAGGATCCCTTCAGCTCAGGAGTTTGAGACCGGCAAGAGCAAGACCCATTTCTACTAAAAATAGAAAAACTATTCAGGTGTTGTGGTGGGCACCTATAGTTCCAGCTACTCAGGATGCTTGAGCCCAGGAGTTTGAGGTTGCTATGAGGTGGGCTGATGCCATGATACTCTGTCTCAAAAACAAAAAAGATCCCTGTTCATCCAGGGTGAATGGGTAAGTGGCTCTTGAAGACTTGTCAGGGAACTGTGCCCTTGCCCAGGTGAGCGCACTGTGGGTGGAGAGCTGGTGGGTGGGTAGCCCCAGCTGGCCCAGGGCTTTCTGCCTACATGCTACCAAGGGCAGGCTACATACCCTGCAACCTTCCCCCTGTGCCTTTGCTTTTTAAAGGGGTGCTCCTACTTGGGGAGCCAGTTCGTTGGGAGACAAACCTGCAGCTGATCTTGGATGTCCTCCTCAGCAATGGGACCCCTGGGACTGGCCTGGCGATGGCTCCCTATCCACACCTCCCTGTCCTGGCCAGCAACATGGATCTCCTTTGGATGGCTGAAGCCAAGATGCCCAGGTGAGGATGCAGAGTTCCAGGCCTTGGCACTGGTGGCCCACTTTCTGCTGCTGCCTGGGTAGTCCTTTAAGCGGTATCCCACCCAGCCCGACACCCTAGGTGGTTGGAACCATGCTTGAGTAAGTCCTATAGTTGCCATAGTACCTTGGCCTTCTGGGAGGGATTTGAAGGGTCATTTTACATATTAGTCATTAAACTGAACTACAGATTACTGAGCCCTGAGGATGTATTGAGATTTTTTTTTTGCACTTTTTGGCAGGGGCTGGGTTTGAACCCGCCACCAGCAGCATATGGAGCCGGCACCCTACTCCTTTGAGCCACAGGCAGCCCGCCTAGGACATTTATCCGGCCTGCCAGGTGTTTTTGCCACCGCTGCCTGTCCTGCTTAGTCGCTGACTCGTCCCAGGGCCTGCAGTCTGGCCTTCCAACGGTTTGAGGGACAGTGAACTGGCTCCCTATTTAAAAAGTTTGAGGACTCCTGCTCTATAGTTGAACCCAAACAATAGGCAGTTTGGGAGTTGTATCAATACAGATTACTCAACTGCTCTTCCTTCCTTGCCTCTACCCTGTAGCATTAGATCTTTCACTTCTTTGTTTCCTTTGACCTTTAAGATACAGGGGCAGAAGAAAGCATTTTTCTGATGGTTGTGCAGACCAGAGACAGATCCATGGATAAGTGACTCAAGAGCACAACATGGGTTTTGAGCAAGCCACACTCCCTGCTCAACTGAGCTGGCGTCTCCTACCTGTCCTGGGCCTGAGTAGAGGCAGAGGTAGCCCTTTTTGTGGCCCTCAGGTGCCTAACTGGAAAGCTGGCTGACAGCTACCCTGTCCTGTTTAGCTGCTCTTGCCTGACAAACCAATGACTTCTACCCTGCCACTGACTCATGCCAGTGAGCCATGCACGTGCTTCCCTGTAGAGGGTGGGCAGGGCCAGCATGGCCTCAGCTCAGGTGACCCAGTACCTGGAGAGACAGGGTGTTATGGTATTCTCTCTACTCACTTTTAAAATGTATTTCTATAGCTCAAGGTTTGGTATTGTCTCTAAAGTATTATTTCTAGACTTAGGATCTGCTGTCAGTAGATGAGGGAGTTTGGTTATGTAGCTGTGAACTAAATAGCAAGGGGCAAATTTCAGTTTATAAGCCAGACTGGGGGTTCATTTTTCACTCAGTAATTTAAAAATGAAAAATAGAGGGGTAGCGCCTGTGGCTCAGAGGGGTAGGGCGCTGGCCTCATATGTCAGAGGTGGCAGGTTCAAACCCAGCCCTGGCCAAAAAAACTGCAAAAAAAAAAAAAAGAAAAGAAAACATAGTCATGTGTAGACCAGCTTACCCA